CTCCTACATCATCAGCGAACAGCAGTCATTCTCCTAGATTCAGATGATGGTATACCCACTCTGTCCAATTTGTTTGGCCAGTAGGTTGCTTGGGGTGTGACATGAAAATTCTTCAAACTGGACTTGACATGTACAGTGGCAAAAGATGCTATTTCAAGGTAGGCCTTTCATTGACTTATTTCTCATAGACACTATTTTAGTTGGTCTTGTTTATTACTTTTTTAAATGTTTGCCCACACGTAAAAGTTTCATATCTTTTTCTTTTCTCTTTCATTATATATATATATATATATATTTGATAAACAGAGCTAAATATGAGAATGAGCATCAAAAGGGGATCTCAAAATAGCTTATACCTCATTCTTTACTTAATAGACTATATGAAATCTAAAATATAATGGTGTCATCTGCTTATAATAAATGAGATAATATTTTAGGCGAACCACTCATTCGCCCCACAAGGAAATTGTCAAGAAAACCACCTTGAATTGTTCTTATCAAGAATTATAGATGGACAATGAGAGAGACCAGACCCTTTTCTTTTTTCTTTGTTTCTCTCCTTACTGTTCAAAGAAGAAGTCGTTCTGTTAAGTGTATACAGACTTTCTATGAGAAGCAATATAGAAATAGTGGTTGTCTAATGAGATACTATGTATAATAAGCTCTTGCCTTGGGAAAGTCTCATATTGTGCCTCTATAACCAAAGTGAACAAAAAATATGACAATTGATCTCCTTGACACAAGACGTCTAGAAAAAACCTGCGGTAGATCCATTAACCAACAATGAAACTCGCACTGGCATATAATTATGTTACCTTTCTCCAAAACCCATCTTCTTCATCACATATAACAAAAATTCTTAGTTTACATGATAATACGCTTTTTCAATATCCACTTTGCAAACCACCCTTGGGTTACCACAACCTCAAATCCACACTCTCATTAGCTTCAAAAGCAACATTCAAAATCTGTCTACTCCTCTGACACTACCTTTAGAAGTACCTTCTTCAATGGTCTAGCTAAAACTTCAGCTAGGATCTTATATTCCTTCCAATAAAGAGATGGGCCTAACATCCTTTGTATACTCTACCCTCCTTTCTTAGGAATCAATGACACAAAAACATTGAAACTTTTCTAAGAAACACCATGCTCGAAAAATAAGGATATCATGCCCAACACAACTATGTAGGCTTATTTAACGCCTTCCTAACACTATTGGAAAAAGGCAATAGTCATACTTATACACCAACCTACCCATGAGCTTATCTCCTTTTTGAGACTTCAATGCCACAACCACTTCCTCTTCTGAAAATGTCTTTCTAACCAATCCTTATCAGTAGTCACGATGCCACCAAAGTCCAGCCCATCCTCCTGGATCTGAGTAAAGCTCCTCATAGGAATCCTCTGTACTAGTTCTAATCTTCTCAACCGTCCACACCCTAGCCCCAACAGGAATTTTGCCTAGTACGAGCATTAGCCATTCTCTAAGAAAAATGGGTATTTCCAGCACCCTCTTTAAGCCATAAAGCCTTAGCCTTCTGGTTTTATCTCGTTTTCTCCATCTTTGCAATGCTACCAAATTCTTCTTTCAAGTAATCTCTATGCCCCTTTGCGATAATGAGATTACGAACACTCTCAATCTCATTAAAGGCCTTTGTGTCCTTAAGAGCTGTTGGCTTTTGAATCCTTAAGAGCTGTTGGCTTTTGAATCCTGATTCCATTTCTTCAATTTTTCATTCAAAAGCTTTAATTTCATGTCTGAAATCAAACTAGGTCTTTCTTCAACATGATAGCAGCTCCTCACTCACCAACCATTTGGGTAAATTACACTTACACCCCCTTGAGGATATTTATTTTTTAAGTCCTCCATCCCAAAATCATAGGCACTATTATGTTACACTTTCAGCATAATCTGCATATATTTTATTTGGCGCTGGATTTTATCCCTTGAAAGATGAGTCTTTTGAATGTCTTGAGATGCAACACCAAAAAATTTTTATAGTAAGTTTTGGGGTTATAATTTTTTGAAGCTATTTCTCTTATTCCTAGATTATGACCCAAGGGTTATGAACTTATGATCTTCTATGTGTGAAGGAAGTTTATTTTTTTTAGAGTGATTGCTCAAAACTGTTTCTTACTATTGTTTCAAATATAATTATGTCTCAATCACTTGAGAATACCAGGACTTTAAAGCTTGTACTAAGGAACCATGAACTAAAGCATCAATTGATGTGATGCTCCGTAATAGGAACAGTGAATGAAAATGTGAATTTAACTATTTCAATTTTGAGTGTTTGTTTGTGGCTATGCCTCCAATAGATTATTTTCTTAAATGTATTTTTAAACTTTAATAAGAAAATGCCTCTCAGGAGATTTTAGTCGTGAAAAAGCAAGCTTTCTTAACTTCCCTTTTTCCAGAATTCTTTCATGATATCCCAACAACCAAAACGAATTAACTGATTCTGCAGCCAAGCTTTAAACTTGCCTTTATTTCAAGGTTCCTTCAACATGCATACTTAATTGAACATTGCTACATAGGCATACACTTGTAACTAAAGTTTTCTATCTGTCTTTTCACAGTGCGATAATATTGATAAAGTAGGGTTTCTTTAAACATGTTGCTGGACATGTGCATGTATTGAAAAGGCATATGTAATGTTTTTACGCTGCTAATACAGGTATGTTAGACGAATTGTTTTTGAAGGAGGACTCATTGTAGATCCAGATCAGGTAGCAGTCTGCTTTAGTCTCTCATTTTTTGCAGTTGATAGCAATTGTTTATTTTGTTATCTTGAATAATGAACTTTTTATCTCAGGGGGAGTTTCTCTGCCCTGTGGGAACCATGGACTTGCAAATTCAGCATTGCCTGCATTACCTGGAGATTCTCAAAAGGTTTCTAGACCAGCAATGGTTTCAACTGTCAGTTGGCCATATGCTACAGGCCAATTATCCTCTGCAAACAGGGAAACTGATTTCCTTCGCTTTCGGGAAGCCTGGTCTCTTTTACATAGTGCTGCTGATGTTGCTGGGAGGAGTGAAATCCTAAAAGCTTTTCCAATGCATCGAACTGGAAGGATAAGACCAAATCCTGAATCCATGTTTCGTGTACTATCTGGAATGTATTTTCCAGGCAAACAGGATAGGATTTCAGGATCTGCAAGGGTAAGCCACTCAGTAATTATGTGGGAAACTCTTAAGTACTCTCTTATTTCAGGATCTACTGCTGGTCTGCTGCTGCCGGTGTGCTGCTACAGAATTTTGCTGGGCTGCTGCTGCTGCTGCAATGTTGCTGTGAAGCGGGCTGCTGCTAGATGCTGGTCTGTTGCAAATTTGGGTTGTTGTTAGCACTATGAATTCAATACATAATCGGGTAATTATTTTATTTGTGTGTGCAGTACATTGATAGGACAGTAGAGGATTGTTTCTTTAACTCTATGTTTACCTCAACTCCTAGTTGGCCAGAATGATATCTGATTGATTGTTCAACTTAAGATTTGGCTTTTTAGACTTTGTTCAGGCAAATGAGGGAATGTTGGAGAAGTGTCTTGAGGGTTTGGATTTAGTTCTTAAGGAATAAAATTACGGGTAGATTTTGATATGGTAGATTTATTGTGATGGTGGCTTGGTTTTTGGGAACTAAAATGACATTGAATGGAACAGTTACATAGATGATTTAGATGGCCCATTTCAAACGGATCATGTTGACTGAAATTGGAAACTTCAGGGATGGAATTGACAAAATTGAAACTTGACCAAGTGACCTGAAACAACAAAAATATCATAATTATGAAAAGAGAGTGTGGCATACATAAAGCCTGGACATATTTATAAAAGCTGAAATCAATGTTCTAGATGATGTTGATCTGAGGTGCTATTTTAGGGGTGGTGTGAAGATGACAAAAACTGGAGATTCAAGGTTGAAGGTTACATCCTAGTGCCAAAAGGCACAGATTAGATTCAAAATGTATTGGATGAATCCCAAAACCAGTAATTTAACATTTGTTAAAGAGTCTTATAGTAAAAACTGAAAAATCCATGAACTTATGCACAAACATAACGTAACATTTGGTGCCCATATAACAAAAACCACAAATGATCACAGAACATACATACTTTTCCGTCTACAAATTCGGCTGGCAAAAAATAAAACATATTCGGAAAATACCTTTTTTTTAGTGTAACAAATTAAATTAAAAAAATCCATGTAATGCTGACTAAACTCTTCAAAGTCTTGTCCCAACTACTTGGGGGTCAGCTACAAGAATCCTGTTTTGCCATTCTGCTTGTTTAAGGGGCATAATTCAGTTAAAACATGAGCATGCCCTCAATAGCATTTCAAATATTTATGTTTTTTCCCCTTTTACAGAATGAGATTGTTTTACTATTTCTCAGCCTTGTTAAACATGACCTGAAGCTTCGTTTTGTTTTGCTGCATTTGGTTTTTGTTTTGCTGCATTTGGTTTTTGTTTCACGGAAAATTTGAGAACATGTGCAAATTTTTTCTCCTGTTTTCATAACATGAATTTGTTTTACTATTAAATCTTTTTTGCATTTTTCCAGCTGTATGGTTCTTTTTTTTTTAGATTCGTCATTCATAGCTATGGATTTATGGATCATATCATATGTGAACTTGCATGTCTTTCCTATTAAAAAAAAGAATGTTTTAAATACATAACCCATTATTAATTTCCTTTCAAAATTAATTTGGTGCTAGATGTTTGTGAAAATCTGAATCAGACATGTCAGCATTCAAAGCAGCAAATCTAGCTGCTGTATTTGAAGATTTTATCCACTGGCATTCACCTAGAGATTGAGAGAATGATGACTTCGAAGAGAGTGGAGAAGTGTCTACAAATGATGCAATGGAATCGTTAAAAAACAATTGGCCTCCTCGAGGATGACTTTCAAAGGGAATGTCTGAGCATGGGAATTTGTGGCGAAAAATTTGGAATGGTGCGCTTGCTTTGCCAGCTTCTGAGCAGAAGCCACTTTTGGACCCTAATCGAGAAGGAGAAAAGGTAAAATTCTTTGTAAATGTGCACATCATGCGATTTTTTTTAAAAAATATTTGGACTACTCTAGCTTTTATGTTTCCCAACAAAATATTAGCAAATGTAGGATGTTACAACGAAGGTCTCAAGTTAAAACTGGTCTGCTGCTGCTGCTGCTGCTGCTGTCGGTGTGCTGCTGCAGAATTTTGCTAGGCTGCTGCTGCTGCAATGTTGTTGTGAAGCGGGCTGCTACTAGATGCTGGTCTGTTGCAAATTTGGGTTGTTGTTAGTTTCATGTTTTCATTTTGTTATCGGCTGTTTTTACTATGGGTTCACAATTTGGATGTATTTGAGTATTTTAGTGAGTTTACCCTTTTAGGTTTTATACAACGCTTCCAAAAGCATATTTTTCAACAGTGTTTTTTTTGCATACACATCAACTTTAGGTGATTTAATATCAATGCTATTAGTTTGTAATAGCAGTGCCTGAGTACCTGAGGGATGCCTCTTGTAAATATGTAAATCTTATAAAAAAATATATATGATTTTCAATTTTTTTTGCCGCTACAAATTTGTCGTTGCCAAAAAGTAAAGCTTTCTCGACAAATAATTTGTCGGTAAATGTGTAGCCAAAAGTTTATTTTTATCCACTCATATTGTGTTGTTAAAAGTGTATTTTTTGCCAATGTCAATTTGTCGTTGTCAAAACTAAAGCTTTATCGACAACCAAATCGTTGGCAAATGGTAACATTTACCGACGTAAATGTGTCGCTAAAAGTTACTTTTGCCCAATGTCTATGTTGTTGGTAAAAGTATATTTTTTGCCCATGCAAATTTGTGTCGCGAAAAGTGCCACACAATCATCATATTTGAATGACTTTTACCGACGCAAGGTAAATTGCCAACGATGGATGAAGGCTTTTATCGACGACTATGTTCGTCGCTAAAGGCATTACTTTTACCAATGCAATGATAATTTCGTCAGCAAAAAATTTTGCCAACTCACTTTTGCCTACGGGTTGCCAACGTAGCTTTGTGTGTCGGCAAAACTCTTTGCCAACGAATTTTTCCTTTTAGCAACATATTTTGTTGCGTTGCGAAAAATGCAATTTCTTGTAGTGCATTCATCTGTATTGCATGCACCGGGCTCAGCGCATCATACTAACTGCATAGTATTTCAAATCTAACTTGAATACGTGTTATCCATTGCATTTCACATGCCGTCCTAGGATTACCGAGCCTATTCTAGACTGCATTCTGTATGCGATACATTAGGCACTTAACGTGGACTTGGATCATGCATGATTGCTAACGAGTTCTCTATTTTGGCGCGGAGTACGATGTAAGTATTTGTGCTTTAGCATCTCGCATGAATGTGAATGTTAACATGACAGCATGCTTACCATGTGGCTATATGCTTATGTGATATGCCTGCCTGAATGCCTGTGGGTGAAGGTTGGATTGTTTGAGTTGGAACAACTCATTAAAATCCGCATTTTAGCCTACTTGCAAGTAGCAAATTTCAAATTGTCTTTCAAATGGGCAGATATGCAATCCTTTGTTCCAAATTAGGCGATCCAGTCTATACTTTTGTGTTGTGCGCATCACATAGTAATTCTAGCTAATTAATCGAAATAAGAACGCATAATGTTTTCAAAACTAGATATCATGGTTAGTAGAGGCCAATCTTTGATCGGGCGAGCGGGGGTGCTCACAAAGTGACCTTCCCCAATCGTACCCAAGTTCCCGAGCCGAGGCAACTTTGGTGATGACGGACACGTGGCCTTAGGCAACGAGTCAGGGTTTCCTAAATTTTTCAAAATAAAATATTTAGGTGACGACTCTGTATCTAGCAAAGCAGTCCATGTTTGGCACTTCTTTCAACAAATCTGTTTTCAAAAATGATTTTCCGGATTTGGACTCTTTGATAATTCATCGGTCTTACATTGCACTCTACGAGATTAGATACAGGACCGTGACTTTGAGTCTTGAACTGTAGTGAACCCAATATGAACAGAACGGGACTCATCCTCCCGGGGCGTTCGGGGACGTCTACAGGGCCTCATGACCATAAACCACAGTATTATGTCCGTTGGGCAAGGGTGTAATGACCCCAAAGTGCGTATAGAAAGTTATCCTTATTTAATTAGGGGTTAATGTGCTTGCTATTGGAATTGAAGAACTATCCGTTGGGTTATGTCTTTGAAACTGGAATTGGTGACCTTTACCAAACAATCTGAAATTTTTCCCTCCGCTCGAGCGGAGTAGTTGGCGCTCGAGCGTCCTTTTGGGGTTTCCAATAATTTTGCAGGCGGACTGAAATTCTGGGAGAGGTGATTTTCCGCTCGAGCGTATAAGTGGGCGCTCGAGCAGGTCGCCTGGTTAAGTTTGATTCTGAGACACGTGGACTCATTTTTTATGTTCTTCTTAGTGTGTTTGGAATATTCTTACCTTATTTTGGGGTATTGATTGAGATGATAATATGATAGTAAAGTAAGATTGGATCAAAAACTTTAATTTGAATAATTCGTTTACGACCAACCGTCACTCTTTTTCCCTTTTCTTGTTCCACACTTGGAATTTGGATGTCAGGTTAGAACCATTGGAAAGCTTATTTCCGGGGCTTCGATTTGGACACAAGAACGGCATAGAACGGAGTCCCGATGAGAGAGTTATACCCGTTTGAAGTTTTCACATCTGTGTTGGAAGCAGAGCCGCACGTGCGGGGAATAGCGCCGCACGTGCGGTCTGTGCGGGACAGCAGCTCTAAAAACGGGATTTTTGGACCATTTCTTGCAATTTCGTTTCCTCTCTTCTTCTCCCCTCTTCCATGTCCGAAACCCTAGCCCCAAATCCTTGAATTCCTTTACTTTGCTCACGATCCACCATGGTTTTTTGCATCAAGGATGGAGAACAAGGGAGGATCGATGTTTTTACCCGATTAGAACTTGGATTTGTGAAGGCTTCTTCTCAAGCTCACTTCTTTGCTTGATTATTGAGGTAAGGGTTTGAATACTCTTCAATACTTATATCCATAGATAGATTTGTGACATTTTATTATCTAAATACAAAATTTCCATATTTAGAGCATGTAGTGTATAGTATGAGATTTGGGGTTTTATGGTTTGAAGATGTTGGGAGTTAATTAATGGGTTAAAATGGTGAATTATGAGTCCTAGGTGTATAATCAATGGAAAAGTTGGAATAAAAAGTGTTGGGTTAATAAGCTTGATTATTTCTTGAAATCT